AATGAGAGGAAGGCTTTTGGAAGTACCAGGATTTGGGGTAGACAATAAAATATAGTTGGTTTCATTTTCCTTTACAATAATTTTTATTTTTATTTATTGTGTATTTAAAGGTTTTACGAAAACAAATACTGCGTGAGTATTCTCTCCTTATAAAAATATTCAAATAATCCATAATCATGTAATGTAAATTATGAAATTTCCTTTTACCAAACTCTCCAAATTCCATTCTTCTCATCAAAAGTAACTGATCTTCATAAATCAATGTGAATTTCACCCAAATATTTCTCTGTAGAGTTAACACGTGTGCTTATATGTGATAGACTGTTTAAGTATTTAATTAAATAGTATGGATTCTTATAAAAAAAAAAAAGAAGAAAAGCCACAGGAAGGAAGGAGGAGGGGCAAAGCATGCTCTGATTGAGTGGGGAGTTATCCATTCTTCCTACCCCGAAACCAGGGGCATACATTCTGGGTCTGGTGCTCAACCAACGCATTGCCATGGTTACATCATTTCACTGCCTCTATTTTAATTTCTGGCTGTTGGCATCCTGTAGTCCTGTATTTCGGGGTCTATAAGCATCATAATAAATCAAGGAGGCAGAAGTTTTCATGACATATGACAGTAAATATTATAACCTAAAACCTATAGGTTAATAAAACTAATTAAACTAATTAGTTTTAAAAACTAATTTTTGCTATTGTTGGACAAGAAGGTTAAACCCCATGAACTATAGGAGTGCAACATTATTAATATTGGCTTGGGTACTTCGTTTTCCACCATAGTAAACATAGACAAAACAGGGGCTTTCCTTGCCAGTGGACTGCATAGAATATACTGCCAGTCTCTTGTCTTTGTTTGTACTTCTGGTATGAAGATGAAAGTACTGAAGAAGTGTGCCTCAAGCCAAACTTTTGAGGTGGTTCTCATCTCTTGATCAAAAGAATTTACACCAAAAATTTCCCTTTTTCTTCTAAAGAAGAATCTTTCCCTGGAGGAAATTCAGAAAAATTTAGAAGCAGCAGAAGAAACACACAAATTCCACTAAGCTGAGGTATTAAAGCAGCTTGCTGAAAAAGGAGAATACCAGAAAGAAGTGTTTCAGAAAGCAACAGAAGAAAAGAGCAAGTGCAGTAAAACTGCCTGCTCTGGCACTGCTTTGCACGGAGGTTTCTGCGTGTAGGTCCCGGCTCTAGTAGTCTGGACTCTGGATTTTCCTGTCTTTCTCTCCAATTTTTTGTGGTAGCAGTTTGCCCTTCAATCTCAATTCTCTGATGGTCCTAAGAAGAGTTGTTGATTTTTAGTTTGTTCAAATTTTTACTTGTTGCTAGGACAGAGTGACAACTTCCAAGTTACTCACACGCTGGACTGAAAACAGAGAAAAAAAAAAGAAAAGTGGAAGAAAAGACAGTGAGATTAAAAAGGGGTAAATTTTTTGGACAATTTCATAAGTCATTTGGTCACTCTAAAAGACTGTGGTCATGAATGGATAAATAGCAACAGCTTCTTGTGGTTTTAGTGCTCTGAAAAAAGAAGCAAGGGCATTTCCCACATTTGTGATTGCTCTAACAACTTGGTAAGCAATTAAATTTAAAGGCATTTCATCTCAAAACAGCTAAGAAAACAAATAAGTTGTTCAAATAAAAAAGTCAACTATTGTATTAGTATATTATATTTAGTTAAATGTTTTTATGATAAAGAATAGGCCTTGATGGAATTGCTGCTTTACTCATGGTTTGATTAATTAAATTCATTCATTTTATTCATTCAACAAACTGAGTCCTTAGATGTGCCAGGCACTGTGCTAGAAACAAAATTAAAAATACTGTTCCTGCCAGTAAGTCTCTTAAGCTAGTCAGAGAGACAGGCACATAAATGGAAATTTAGAAAATAATGTGGCACAAAAAAATAATAGAGAGGTACACAAGGTTATGGGAAGATAAGGAAGGACATTGAATGCAGCCAGGAGCAGGAGAAGGCCTCCAGAACACAGTGGTACCTGAACAGAATATTAACAAGTCCAGCTTCTTCTCCTATAAATCTTAGACTATGAATAATGTATTTTTTTGTTTCATTCCTCTTTTAGCCAAGTCCTAAAGGCTGTGACTCGTAGAGATAAGAACTAGAAATAACTGGGTAATGTAACAGAGCATGTGTATTTCTGTAAAAATGATGAGGCGTCCCCAACAAGCAGGAGGGATGACATGGAGCAGTGCAGCATCAGAGAAGTGCTCAGTATTTGAAGCCTCTGAGATGTTGTGCATTACAGCTGGAGTGAGGCTGTGCAGGTATCTGACCAAAAACCAACTGGGGCATCAGCAAAAAAATATCACTGCCACGATATGGTGGTATTTAGGTGGCATTTTGTTCTTTGGACACCCCAGAACTGAAGAGCCCCTGCAGTCACTCATACATCTACAGTAGTTATTAAGTTTATAATCAGAAAGGGGGTGATAGGGAAATAACTTCGAGATCATAGTGTAGAAACCTCTAATTCACAGAGGAGGAAACTGAGAGAAAATCTTCCTGGCTGAGATCCTGCAGCTATTTACTAAGAGAGATGAAAACAGAATGGGGATCAAGGTCATTTATTTATTCATTAAAACAACTGAATGATATCTAAATGCCAGGCTATGTGTAAGGTACAGAGTATGAAATTTATGCATATTGATACTTCCCTACTGTCCCCCACCCAGCTTCCTGCCCCAAATATCAGTTTCACTCATAAATACTTTAGATATATCTTCAAAACATACTAAAACATAACCGGCTTATCACTATATTCAGTATAATTCACTAATATCATCAAATACCTAGTTAATGTTGAAAGTATCTAATTATTGCAGATGACTTTTTTTAATTGTTTGTGCAAATTAGATCCAAATCAGATGCTATAACATTGCACATTAAAAGTCTCTTTGTTCCCCTTATTTGATGAAGAAACAAGGTCACTATCTAGTAGAATTCCCCCATCTGGATTTACTGATTGCAACCTCAGTTTTCATTTAACATTCCTCTACCTTCTGATTGATTGATTGATTGACTGATTGATTGATTCTCTCCAGGGTCACACAGCCAGTGAGTGGCAGAGGCCAGATTAATATTCAACTGTTGACTGTTTTATGGTTGCATTAAACAAACTCCTTTCACCTTTTAAATGGCTCAATTAAAAAGAAAACCAATTTATTCTTAACACACTGGACACATGTTCATTGCTCATAAGTTGAGAGAATCTTATATATGTGAGTTCTCATTCTAACAGGGTTCTAAGATATTAAAAGGGTGAGGGTCAAGTTATGCAACTTTCAGTTCATGAAATATTTCTTCAGCACCACTCTATATCATAGCAAGATATATGTCATTGCACTTCCCCTCAGGGAACTATAGAACAGGACACAGAATAGTAAATGCTAAACTGTATAGCCCAGAGGAGGGATCAACAACAAGTCGGGACTCTCAGAGGTTCCTTTTTTTTCTTTCTTTTTTTTTTTTCAAGTAAACTGCTCATTTATTAGCATCAGGACTGCAGTACAACAGGTTCCAGTAAATATGCTGAACAGCAATGAGATGACAGAACAAGGTGAGGTTCAGATATGTGAATGGTGGGTTCTTATCTCTTCCACTCGTTCTTGTTGTAGTTCCACTTGGCAGAGAAGCCCTGGATTGGGTTGACCTCCATGTCAAGCATCCTCTTGGTCTGCTTGGCCACCCACTCCTCTTCAAAGGTGTGCAGGATAGGGTCATACACATAGCGCTTTTCCCAGATCAGAATGAGAGCAGTGAAGGAGACGAAAACCATGGCAGCACCCACAACTGTCTTCCACTCATTCGTGCTCCTGTTCACTTCAGCAAAGCTCTCTGTGAACTTAATGAGATACAATTCAACTTTTTCATCAATTGATAAGACTGCTCCAGGGGTTGTTCTCCTTCTCTTTCAAGGCTTTCTGGCTGGCAGAAGGGTTCTTGACGTGGGCTCCATCAGGTAAAGGATATTCACGTTGATGGACAGAAGTTGGGAGAGCAAAGTCCTCACTCTTCACTCCCGTGTACTAGGGAGCACACACAGTACACACACCGAGGTGGAAACTGCTCGCTTGCCAATTAGGGTAAATACTCTGATAGTCAACATTCTGCCGCTAACGCTACCACCCAGCCGCAGCCTGCTGTGCCCGCAACCCACTGTGCCCGCTGCGACTACCCTCTACGCCCTGGCTGCTCGCGACCAGAAGAGAGACACAGAAAGTTTCAAGGAAGATTAGAATTGAGCTCCATTTGAAGGGATCAAAAGAATATTTATACTGAGAAGGAAAAAGAGGGACGCTTCGGCGCATGAAAATGGGACCCGAAACTAAACCCGACAAGCTCTAGGGAGGCCTGCACAGTGCACTTGCAGACTCAGAGACTGAAAGTAACTGAGTGAGATGGTCTGAAATTAAAACTTCCTAAATGAAAGGGAGTCATGGTGAGCACTCATGTCCTAGGCTGGGGATCTTCCTTGACAAAGGCCAATGTTTACCTTAACTGAGCCTATCTGTTGCCTTTTTGCAGCTACAATAATCTACCTTCTGAAAGTCAGAGTATCCCCTTTCTTCCAGACCTCACAGGGCACAACTTCCCACCTGAGCAGGAGACCCCGGAACCCCAGATTTGTTATTGCTGCCCAAATACCATCTCTGTGATGTATACGTTGTTAACTGTCCTGTACCCACCAACGTAAAAGTATTTGTCTCTTCATTTTACCCAGTCTCAGAGATTGCCCTGCTTTGCTTTCTCCCTCCTCCCTAACCTACCACCAATGGATTTCATGTAACCCTCCTTATCACACCTCCTCCTCTGATCCCAACGTGTAAAATAAACTGCATAACTGCCCTTCTCCAGAGCATTTTCTTACTCCCTTAGGATTTTGGAACTGTCAGTTTGGCTCAAATAAACTCACAAAAATTCTGACAGATTTGGACATTTCTTAGGTCTACAGAGGTAAGAGTGGTAGCAGCTTACATACCCAGCTTACGTACACCCCGTCACGGACGTTGAGCGACCCCATTATCCGTTGATAGTGTGGTAAAAGGAAGCTACCGATGTGTTGGAAGTTCAAACATCTGGAATAAGTTAAGTGGCTGAGAAGCGCGCAGCGCACGGCGATCCGCGCGGGCTACGCTAGCGACGCTGGCGCCCCCTGGCGGGACTGCAGTCCCTCTATCTGAAACACCAAGAAGCGTCACCGTTCGACTCTAACGTGGCTTTCACAAACTCGGAAAGGGCGTTACGCACCTCTACGCTCACCTACGCGCATCTACGCGCATCTACGCGCCACGCAGGCGCAAAGCCCTTTCCTCCGGCACAAAGACGGCGGGAGGAGGGGTCGGCGCAGGCTCCCTAACACTCTCCAAAAATAGGGTGATCATTCTGCCTCCTAGCGCAGAGAGGCAGAGCAACGCATGCGTTGTGACGTTGTGCGAGACAGTTCACGCTGCGGAGGCGGTGACGTAATGACAGAGGAGGCGGTGGTCAAAGGACGGAAGCCGGGAGGGAACCAGGGCGGAAGGGGCCAGGCCAGGCTTGTGTTCGGCACCTTGGCCGGGCTGGGGTTCCGATGTGGTCCCCGGAGCGGGAGGCCGAAGCCACGGCCGGGGGAGACCCGGCGGGCCTACTGCCCCCCGAGTGGGAGGAGGATGAGGAGCGCATGTCCTTCCTGTTCTCCGCCTTCAAAAGGAGTCGCGAGGTGAACAGCACCGACTGGGACAGCAAGATGGGCTTCTGGGCACCGTTGGTGCTGAGCCACAGCCGCCGCCAGGGGGTGGTGCGCCTGCGTCTGCGGGACTTGCAGGAGGCCTTTCAGCGCAAGGGCAGCGTCCCGCTGGGGCTGGCCACGGTGCTGCAGGACCTGATGCGGTGAGGGCGGGCCCGGGCCTGGGGTGGGGGCGGCTCCCTGAGCTCTGGGAGCCAGCCTGTTCTCTGTCCGTGCACCTCGCCCAGCCCGGGTTGGTTCAGAGCAGCCTGTGTTTGCTCAGCAGGCGAAGGCAGAGGAAGACGAGAAAGAGGTTGGGGTTGCGGTGTTTGGGGACAGATACTGACAGGGTATGAGATAGTCCAGTTAGTTGAGATCGAGACAGGAGAAGCCAGCCTGGCAGAGGTGACAATGATTTGTCAGGACTGGAATCCGATTATGGAGTTATTTGGCAGGGCCTTCCAAATTTTAATTACCCCAGAAGATCTGTAAGGTAAGATTTCTCGAATTAAGGAAGTGCTAAGGGGGCAGTAGTGGGGAAGAGGCCAGGTTGTAGGGGTCTTGCCGACAGCCCATACATAGCACAGGTCATGTTTGTGGCCTGTCTTGTCCTTGGCACAGGCTCTTTGGAGCAGAATACATGATGGATGGCGAGGGCTTTACTATCTTGGTGTTCTGAGAAGGTCCTGTAGGTGGGTGCTACCTGTGCAACAGGTGCAATGTTTTGGAATACCTGAGGCAGTAGTCTGGATGTCTGATGGATGCACAGCACTTCACAGTGTGCAAATCCTTTGCATACCCCTTTATTTCATCTGACCCCCTCAGCAGTCCTGTGGAGTAGATGACAGAATTATACTCAGCAGGCAGAAGAAGAAACTGAGCCTCAGAAAGACCACACAACTTCCTTGGGGTTACACAGTCAGAGATGATGCCAGGATTGGGCCCTGGTCTTCTGATTCTAAGTCAGTTGCACTTCATATTGTATAGATCATACCCAGAGTAGTCTAGCCAGTGAATTCCTGCCTCCCTCAGTGAATGAAGAAGAAAGTCAAGTTTGAAATGTTGGCTTTAGCTTCCTGGTCTTCCTGATCAGAAAGTCTCCCTTCCCCCATTACCTCTCCATTGACTGACATTGATGGACAAACTGTTTCTGAAACTTCTTTTCTGAGCAAGGGTAGTGTGGACAAAGTTTTAGTTCATGCCTGAAGTGGGCTGCAGGGGAGAGGGTAGCTGAGGAAGTCAGTTAGGGACAGGAACAGTCTGGGCTTCCTAATTGCAGCAGGACCATCCTGTACCATTTCTGATCCAGAGGCCTTTCATACCTCAGTCTCTCCTTTCCTGGCTGCTTTCACTGTGCTGACGTATCCTGGCCTTTGGCGGCATCTAGCACTTGGAGAATTTTGAGGAAGCTGTGCTCCTTGGAATCAGCAGAGCTTAGTAGTTAACAGCTTTGCTTGAGGGCCAAATGACCTGGACTCAAAGCCTACTTCTGCCACTTGCTAAATTATGTGATCATGGATAAATTCTGTTACTGGGGACAAATTATGTACCCTCTTTAAGCCTCAGTTTGACCAGTTATAAAGTGGTGGTGATTATTGAACCTAGGTTTATTGTGAGGATTTCAAGAGATATTCCTTACATAGCCCTTAACAAAGTGACCAGCCCATGGCAAGCATTCAGTGAATGTCACTACTACTACCAGTATCAGGAAATGCTTATGTCTTCTCTCCACCATAGCTTGGGAAGAGCAGAAAACCCTCTCTCTGAATTCTTTGTATTCTTCCTTATGCCTTGCATTTCACAGTGATCCATTATTGTTATTTTCATTTTATCACTTTTGAGCTCCATTTGTGAAAGTCTCATCATAGGCCCTTCGTCCTCTTGTGCCTCCGCAGTCTTAGGACCTAAGTTTTAGGTCCTAAGTTTTGGACCTAAACACTAGGTCCAAAGAGCTTGTGTTTTGAACCTAAATTACAGGTTAGATTTGGCCTCTCTCACCTTCTCAGCCACTCAGTTTTCTCACGAGCATAAGTACCGATGACGCCATCTGGCTTGCCGACACATGAGGCTTTGAGCTGGAGCGTAAACGTGGTAGCTGCTCATCGTAACTGGCACAGAGTAGCCGCCTAATAAATGGTGTTGATGATGATCAGGTTCCTCTTGGAGGGAGGGGGATGTGAGGACTGGAATGGGACATCGCATGATGCCTACTGTGTGCCCTTTCTTTGCAGTCGAGGAGAGCTGCAGCGGGAGTCCGACTTCATGGCCAGTGTAGACAGCAGCTGGATCTCCTGGGGGGTCGGAGTCTTCCTGCTGAAGCCCCTCAAGTGGACTCTCTCCAACATGCTAGGGGATAATAAGGTTCCTGCAGAGGAGGTACTAGTGGCTGTGGAGCTCCTGAAGGTGGGTACTGGGAAAGGAGAGGTCTGGGTGTCATTTTATGTGGTGACAGGTTCTTCCACATCCCTTGTAAGTATCATTAGAGACAGAACGTATTGTTTTGCTTGGTGACAGGTGATAATTGCTTACCTCACTTTCCTTATTCTGTACTTTGTAACATCATTTGGATGTCAGTTGGACATCTGTTGGTTGGCCAAAAAGTTCATGTGTTTTTTTCCGTAAAATAAAATAAACATTTTTCATTTTCACCAACAACTTTATTGATTTGGATATTTCAAGGATGACAGCTATCTGCTGTATAGAATGTTGATTGTTCTCAATTAATGTTTCGATTGCTGTTGACTTCAACTGGTCTGCCCTACTGTGGAGCATTGTCCAGCGAAAAATCTCCCACATGAAAACATGCTGACATGACAGCTATCACAACACAGTCTAACAAAATTGTTTCGAATGAAGTTAAAAGACAACTAAGCACAACCAGAGCATCTTATGGAAAAAACAAATGAACTTCTTGGCCATCCATCCCAATCTATGTCAAGGGTGAGCCTCTGTCTAGGAATTGTCAGTAACATGCAGTTGATTATTTTCTGTATTTGTAGGGATTCATGAAAAGCTAAATGCTTAGACAATGCTTTGCCTTCTGTAATTTACTGACAAGAATTTCTCAGGATTCCTGTGGACCTTGTGACTTTCAGCTTTGCCTTCCCCTAAATCAACAAACTACTTCATATTTTCTCCTCTCTGGTTATAACCCTTTCTCACTTCCATCAAAGAGGCCTCCAGGCCCTTGGTCCCTTCCTGCTCTCCTGGTCAGTCAGCTTCCCCCAGGCCTGCCCGCCCTACCAGCCTCGGGCGTGCAGCTGATCCCTGACTGCTTCCCTCCTCAGTACTCTCAGCAACTTTGCAGCTCTCTGGTCCACACCAGAGACTCCAGCAAATCTGCCACTTTCAGTCAGCCCCATAGTCTCCATCCCTGCAGGAGAAGGTCACCCTGTCACCAAAACCGGGTCCGCTTTCACAACCCTGAGCTTTCAGAGGGCCCTCAGAGCCACCCCACAGCCTGGTTTTCTTGTCTTCTCCCAGCCACTCACACACTCCTTCCATGCTCTGCTCTCTGTCTCTGCAGACACTTCCTGGAGAAGGTCGAATCTCCTGAGTCAGCGCTTTCAGGGTTCTGTCTTCCTCCAGTTTAACCTCCCTGAGCCCTCTTTCCTGGCCAGAGCTTGGAGGATGGAGTGTTCTTCCTCTTCCGCATGTGCTCCTGAGTCTGTCCCTACACTGCTTGCCCCCATTCCGTAATTAGCCTCCTGTTCTGTATATTCCATCTCCCTCTTTGGTGCTCACCTTCGTCAGCCTCTAAACCCACTTGACTCCTGTGTGGGACCCGGGCCCTTGCCTAGCTCTGCTCTGTCTCTTTCCTTCCCGTCAAAGCTTTTGTTGTCACCACTTCCTCACCTCCCACGCTCTCTTTGACACAGTGCACACCAGCTTCAGCCCCAGCACTCCCCCAAAGCTGCTGTGGACAACATTATAGTAACCTTAGAGAGGAGGGGGGAGAGAGAAGGTGCAAAGTTGACTGAACACCTGTTAGCGGAAGTATACTGCAGACAATAGCTATTTTGAAACTCCCAGACTAAACCCAACATCAGGGTCCTTGCATAGCCCCAGAGGCTTCCACACAGCTGGAGTCAGCTCAGAATGCCCATTCCCAAACCCCAAGAGAAGCTCCAGTGTCTCCTCACCTCTACAGACCCCCAGGCCTCTCTGCCTTGGACTGAGAGGAGGTCTCCAAAATCTACCACCACCTCTCCCAGTCCCCCAGGGTTTTGACTGAGCAGCACACATTTTTCTTCAGGGGAACACCTCTCTCCCCCTCTGCACTCCACCCCCACCTTCATGGTTATTCCCCCACCCAGTGCCCTGACCTCCAAGGCTTAGCCAAGGCCCCACAGAAACTGCAGAATGGTTTGGGTGGTGCTGGGCCAAGCCCCATTCCGTTGTGCAGTCTAACCTCCCATGTTCTCCAACTGGGGCAAAGGGACATAGGTCCATTTATCCCCGTGGATATGGTTTTGGACTCAGTCCTTTGAGAGCAAAGGCAGAGATGGGGTGGGAGTTGAATTACACAGGTCTTCCAAAACCAGCGGTAATATTTGG